ACTGTGTGGCTGACCCCCACAAATCCGCTGCCAGCCCAGGGCTGCTTGGCCCTGTCTCAAACTGCTGCAGTCCCAGTCACTGTCTATACATGTTTTCTGTGCAGTAAATGACTCTGCCATAAGATAGTGCTGTCCCCAACAGAACTGTTTGATGATGGAGTTAATTAATTTACTGTGCCCTAATGCCAGTACACATGTAAATGGTGACACTTTACTGCAGAGCTAATTAGTCGATGACTCAGTAAAGCATATGTGTAGATGTACCCAATTTTTATCTGTCTGTTTCACACCCAGAATTATTGTTTCTTAAAACTATTGCTATATCATTCTCACTTTTTTTGGAAGACAATTAAATTGCAATGGGAGGAAAAATCTGGATAAGGGACTCTTTGGAAAACATGAAGAGAAGGCATGTTTACTGAGCCAACAAGGGCTGTATTCCACAGGAGACCACATGGTTATAGAACCGGGTGCCAGATGGACCCAAGTTGTCCTGAGTTGAACTTGGTAGACTGACTTTGCTGTGTAACATTGGACAAACTCTTTGTGCCTTGAGTACTCACCTGTAAAATAGAGGTAATGGTACTTCACTCTTCATGAATCACTGGCATCCATAGAAAAGAAACACTACATGTTTTCTAAGGTTTGTTCATGCCAATGGGGAGCTGAGGAGGCTCAGCACCCCACAGGAGGCCCATCTCACCTTGCATGATTTAGCCACAAGTCACTGAAAACAGCACTTTTATGTGTCATTGGCTTAAAGTGGGAGATAGAACAGGCTGAGAAGATGATGAGCTGAGGCTCATCACCAAATAAGTAATTTAAAATGTAGTTTCTCCCTTAAAAGTGTCAGCAAATGAAGGAAAAGAAGAAAGAGGGGGAGCCCCAAAGGCAGCAATTTTTAGTGCTTTAGTTTTCTCTATTGTCATTAATTAAGCTCACCCAGGATTGCAGGCCTGTCACTCGGGGAACCTTTCCATAAAGAAAAAAGGAGCTTGCTCCCCAGGTGGGTTTTCCCAAGTTTCTCAGGCTCTCACCACAATATATGCTTGGCATCCATGACAGAGTCGTCAAAAATAATAGCTAAGGAATTCACTGTCTGTCATTCCAAAATAATTATGTATGGGGCTTTACTTGCACTTGAGATGGATTATATATTTCATTGAGAAAATATATGTGGGCTAAAAAAATAAAATATGTAATGCATTGAGGACACTGCAGAGATTAATAGCCAAATGAGGAATATGGGGGAAAAAAGTCTGTGTTCATGCATGTGAACCATGTCTAGGTAGGGGGTGGAGTGAGATGTCATTCCAAAGCTTGTTAATTACAAAATGCATTAATGTTTTATTAGCTCCTTATCAGTAATTAATCACCCACTTTGATGTAAAGTTCAGGCTTACAAATGCACCATGGAAATTGTCCCTCAGATACAAGCCAGGTTTTTCGGGGTGAGCTGGAACGGCAACAAAGTACAAGCATAATCCTTTCAGAATGCTGGAAGTGACTTCTGGTGCACTGGTTTAGTGTCTGTAATAACTGGAGTGTTCGATAGCATTTGGGTGCCTGTAAGGCCAAAATGGTGCAGGGGAGGGGAAAAAAAGAATGGCAATCACAACAAGGAGGGGAGGAGGGAGTGTACTCAGTGGTGTTCTTCAGGTGCACAGTTTGAATAAAAATGCAAAACAGGATGCTCCCATTCAGTAAATATTATCATTTTTATTCACTCATTAATTAAGTTGCTTAATTGCTGCTGTCAAAAGACTCTTGAGTTTGTGACTGGGGTTCTTGCACTGTTTTGATAGTAGCTGAAGAAGGAAAAGGCAATATCGCTAGGCTTGCTCTTTACCTTATAATCAGGAGGCATCAGTGATAAGAGATCATAATGAAGCTGCAGAGTTTACACATGGAAAAAATATATATTTCCAGAACGGGAAAAAAAGGTCAGTTTTATGAAACCCATCAGATGTTATTTCATTGGTGTGATTGATGTGCTATTGCCTGGGTATTATCATTTCAGTCATTACTCTGTGAAAATCATTTTTATGCAAAATATTTCCCTTCTTTTAATCTAACTTTCCCACGAGGGCCTGGAAATGGAAATGGGCTCAGGCCTTGTCAGTCAACACAATTATAAATATTTTTTTTCTAGATCTGTCTCTGAAGGATTATTTGAAGCTGTTTTAGGAACATATCTTCACTAGTGCAACAAACTGACAAATAGTCAACACTTATAGCATATTGAGCATATAACTTGAGACATTATTATATATATGTTATTATGTGCACACCAGGATGATAATTTGTCCTGCAAAGCTTGAGATGGTCTTAGACTCAATACTCACATCATGAGTATGAGTATGAGATGACTGGCTCTGTGTATGCAGGGAGACCAGTGGATGTAGTATACCTTGATTTTAGCAAGGCTTTTGATACAGTCTCCCACAACATTCTCAAGGGCAAGCTAAGGAAGTATGGACTGGATGAATGAACTGTAAGGTGGATAGAAAAATGGCGGGAGCATTGTGCTCAAAGGGTAGTAATCAATGGGTCGAGGTCTAGTTAGGAGCCAGTCTCAAGTGGAGTGCCCCAGGGGCCGGTACTGGGCCCAGTTTTGTTCAATATCTTTATCAATATCTTTGCTCAATATCTATATCAATATCAATGACCTGGAAGATGGCTTCGAATGCACCCTCAGCAGGTTTGCAGATGACACCAACCTGGAGGGTGTAGTAGATACATTGCAGGGTAAGGCTAGGATTCAGAGTGACCTTAACAAATTGGAGGATTGGGTCAAAAGAAATCTCATGATGTATAACAAGGACAAGTGCAAAGTCCTGCACTTAGGATGGAACAATCCCATGCAGGCTGTGGGCTGACTGCCTGGGTAGCAGCTCTGCAGAAAAGGACCTGGGGGGTTACAGTAAGCAATAAGCTGAATATGAGCCAGCAGTGTGCCCGTGTTGCTAAGAAGGCTAATGGCACACCGGGCTGCATTGGTAGGAGTGTTGCCAGAAGGTCAAGGGAAATGATTATTCCCCTCTATTCAGCACTGATGAGGCCACATCTGGAGTACTGTGTTCAGTTTTGCCCCCCCTATAGAAAAGATGTGGAAAAATTGGAGACAGCCCAGCAGAAGGCAATGAAAATGGTGTGGAGACTGGAGCACATGACTTATGAGGAAAGGCTGATGGAACTGGGCTTATTTAGTCTGGAGAAGAGAAGACTAAGAAGGGATTTAATAGCAACCTTCAACTACCTGAAGTGGGGTTCAAAAGAAGATGGAGCTAGACTGTTCCCAGAGGTGACATATGACAGAACAAGGAGCAACAGTCTCAAGCTGCAGAAAGGGAAGTTTAGGTTATATCAGAAAGAATTTTTCTCACTAGGAGGGTAGTACAATACTGGAACAGGTTACCCAGAGAGGTTATGGAGTCTCCATCCTTGGAGGTTTTTAAGACCCAGTTAGACAAAGCCTTGGCTGGGCTGATCTAGTTGGGGTTGGTCCTGCTTTGAGCAGGGGGTTGGACTAGATGACCTCCAACCCTAATTTCTATGATTCTATGATTCTAAGTCTCCTTCCTTAGCTGTAAGTCACCCATCCTGATGCTGGCTAGGGCAGTATCAGAGACCTCTTGTAATTAGCCTGACATACCTTTTGTCTTTCAGTTCTGTCAACTTCCATACAAAGTTGTGTACCATCACAGCCAAACCCAGTTAATCATCTCCTGGACCTCTTTTGAGCAGAAACTGCCAATTATGCTAAATTTGACAAAAATGAAAAAAGTTTGTAAATATTTGTGTGTCCATAAATAGTCACAAACCAAAATCCATTCATGTTAGTGTTATTTGCCAGTAAATACAATATTATGTATCAACCTTTTAAAAAATCTCTTATTTTACAGAGTGCAAAGCACCCCTGTGCTAAAGTAAATATCCATCAATTAGCCTATTCTTGAAAATAAGAAAAGGCAGGTCCATTTATAAAAGACAGCAATCCAAAGGAATCGCCAACTGCCCTGAGTCTGTGGCTTTTTGAACCAGCTCCCAAAATATCTGAGCACAACTGGAGGATACAGACTAAGTGAACCACTCATCCCATGTTCTTTTTTCTGAGCATAGGCCTCAGGGAAGTCTTTGGGTTATGAAATGAATTTGAAAGTGACCATTTCCTAAGTCTCAAAAGGGAACACACTGAAATGAGGGTTCAGAGATAGAGTTGGAGGACTGGGATGCTGGAGGACTGGTAATTCCCTATTGTGCCACCTGGCTGGAGACTGCTGCCACCACTGTACTCCCACTGAAAACTGAGTTCATTTGACCAAACAGACAAGATGCCTGGGGCAAGTGTTTTAAACAGGGGCTGTTCCACCCCTTTCTCTCTCTCTATCTCTCTCTCTCCACTGCCCCCACCACCACTGCCCAGAACTCATATCAGTTGCAGTGTTTTTGACAAATGACATCATAAACCTGACTTTCTCCAGAAAAAATGTAGGGAGTAAAAGGAATAGAGAAGCCAGACTGGAAATTGTGACAGAAAATTGTCTGCACATTGGTATTCACCATCTAGTAATTAACAAGATAATGTGTACTGAAATAAACCAAGGAAGCTCAGCTAGGATCCACAGGTTCATAGATGTAGGGTTGGAAGGGACCTGAGCAGATCATCAAGTCTGACCCCCTGCCCTGGGCAGGAATGAATACTGGGCTTATATGACCCCTGGTAAGTTTAATCTTACATGACCCCAGCTAGGTAGTTATCAAGCCTCCTTTTAAAGATCCATAAGGTAGGAGCCAGCACCACTTCCCTTAAATCCAATTCAATCCTACATTCCAATAAGGCTGTAAGTTCCTGGCAATGCCAAAGAGTGCTATTACTGAAATCCCTATTCTGTTGTACATCAATGGAATTTTTTTAATTAATGAAGAAACAGGGATACAGAAGACAAGTGTTTTGAGAACTGATTAGAGATTGCGATCTGATGCCTGTCACTCCTTGGTGGGTATTTTTATGCCTGATTAAATAATGCTTTGCTAGAGCATCTTTATGCTCCCTGAAGCAGAGCAGTGGGGAACCCAAAGTGGAAGTCTAGAAGCAGCACAGAAAATGTTCTTTTCACAGAGTTTCTCTGGAACTCCTACATGTATACACAAGATTTTGAAGAGGACACCTACACAATCATCATCCTTGTCATCCTCTCTCAGACAAGTTTGCAAAATTCCTTGTTCCTGAGTTCTGGCTTTCTTCAGATCCTGATTCTTCTCTCCACTGCCTGTAACTAGAGACAAGAACAGGGGATACAATTATTCCTCTTCGTGATTCCTGAAAGGCCCCTGCAGGAAAATCAGGGCCATATCTTTAATATCATGCTCAATGGTCTCTGTCTAAGGAGAATGCTACAAATTCTAGGTGGACATTATCCCTTGCAGACCATGATAACAGGCTCAGTGCTTCAGCAGCCACTCTATAGGCCTCAGTATTTTTCATCAGCACAGGACCATCACCAAAAACAACTTCCCCCCCAGCCCCGCAGAAAACAATCAGTATTTCCTGTGTTTGTATGTGTTTCTAAAGCACCAATGGATGCCATAACATTTTTTTTGCCGCAGCAATGGCTTCTAGCAACATAATCCAGAGAATACAGGAAGAAAATATTCAGGTCAACAGGTATTTTACTCTGCCACATTTCCCAAAGAAGGGTTTCACTGAGATTTTGGAGAAGGCCATTGCTCTCTACTCCAAAATAAAAGGAAAATTCCTCCCTGCCACTAAAAGTTACCAGAAAGCACTGATCAGATTTTCACAAATGTCTGCCTTCCTTTTGTCTATCTTCCCAAATGCAGGCAAACGGAAATTATAGACACTCCCAGAACACATTCAATAGAGGGAGCTACTCACCATTTGCTATCTGCTATCCATTTGCACTACCAGAGCTCACCTTGGAGACAAGCCCAGTGCACCTGGAATAGGTAATCATCCCTCCCTGTCTTCCTGAGAGATTATATTTCATCTCTGTAGACAAAAGTGCGAATAAAGGAGTCTGTATCCTGAAGCAGGTGAAATATCATTCCCCATCAAAATAACAGATTTTCATATTCACCAACATAAATGCTCAGTCTTGAGGGTGAGTCTCAAGTGAGCGCTGTTGGATGTGTTTCCTATACTAAACAAATAAATAAATAAATAGCAAACATGAACAATTTCCCCTTTAACTGTTATCAAAAAACACTTTTGTCGTGGGAAGTGTTTACTTGCCCAGCTAAGACTTCAACTGCTCAGTAGCCAAACTTACATATGTAACTACAAATGGTATCAGTAGGGGTTAGATTGTGAATTTGATGTCAGCCTGGAAATGAAGCTAAGGTGGGTTAAGAGGCCTCTTGGCCCTGCTAAGGCCTAGTTCACACTTTAATGTGGATCTGAGTTGAAGAAGGGGTCACGAGGTGAAACAGAGTTCAACCATAAGTTGACTGATAGCTCTGTGTGTGTGGGAGGGGGGTGTCTAGGCCCAGGAAAAGAGTCACTGGAGGTTCATCCTGCCTGAGAGAAATTCCTCTCAGCAGTAGCTATCCTGTTGATGAATTGACCCATGGCCCTGTGGACAGGGCTGGCAGTTTGCACTCACTTGTCTTACACAGCTGTGATACAGTTCCTTTTAACAGATGTGCACTGCCAGGGTCCGCTACTCTACAGACCAGCCGCCACCCAGTGTGCTGCACAGGCGCTCCAAGACTTGGAAAATAAATTAAACACAGAAATGAGCAGTGGGGAGTCCTATGATGGGTCTTTTCAAAATTTATTTGCTGCTTGCTTGTTTGTTTGTTTATCCTGGCTAATCCTCTAAGAAAAAAAGATGGACCAATGATTGTATCACTAGATTTTCCTCTCTGGAAGCTAAGGCAAACTTTTCATGCTTCTAAGTTACTTGTTGCTAAGTGAACAATGCCATACAGCTAACTTGATCCTGTGAGAGACTAAGCACACACTATTCAGTGGTTTCAAGGGAAAGGGAGGGTGCTGAAGGCCTCACAGGACCAGGCCCTAATTGTCCATTTAAGTTTCATTTGTGATTTATTCTTCAGGAAATAAGACACAGTTGCAATCCAAATTCAGGTTTTGTCGCACATTGCTTTTTATGGGCTATCAGGGAAAAAAACTTTGAAATCTACAAATGTATTTTATTCTATTTCAGAAATAAATAAAGAAATAACATGTAATTATAGCTATGCCTCTGGAGTGATTATTTTACCCTCCAGTATAACCCTGATGGATCAAAGCAAGAAAGTAGGTATCTCAGAACTGACACATTCCTAAAAATTTCATGATTGTTGCTATTTGATGTGACACGACACAAGATGGTATGTCAAGCAGGCAAAAAAATATGACAAACATATACATAGTATTTCCAGAAACAGGGTGTGTTTAACTGCAGTTTTAAGAGGCAGATCTGCATGATTTTAAAACTCAACCAATTTCCAGACCTCTCAAAAAATCACAAACCCATCTGCTCTAAACATCTACACCCCCATTAATTAAAAACAGAGCTTAAAGGTATTACCAAATATTGGCTAGATTAGAAAAGGATGTTGAGGAGCTGAGAAATTACCATAACACAAATATTAATAAATCACTTTTCCCATAATTAACAGAAAAATAGTGAAATGTGGAGACCTAGCAACCATTTTGCAAAAACAGGAAGTATGTTGGCCAGTCTGTCATTACTCTTTCTCTCTCCCCCTACTCCTCACCTAACCATGGCTTCTGACTACTAGGTAACAGCTGCAGATGTCATTCTTAAAATATCCACTGGTAATGGCAGAACAAGGATTTTTAAAACTGTTCTGTGGCATGGTACAAAAAAGGGGAAGAAAGCCTAAAGGCTAAATACTGTTAAAGAATAAGTGATTATTTTTCTGCTATTGTTACCAAAACAGAGTTACAGTTTCTGGGCTTGAAACATACCATTTTTGCATTCATATTGAACAAGGTTTAACAAACTACTCCATTTTTCCATTCCCTGCTCAGCACTTTCCTTGATCAGGCCCATACTGAAGAGAAGAACTGTAAGACGCTCAAACTTTCAAGTAATCTCTCTCTCTCTCTAGCTATATATACTGTATCAGATATTGATATATCTAGATAGATAGATATTGATATCTAGATATATGTGTTTAGATATAGATATATAGATATAAATCTGAATATTTTTCAAGAAAAGACATTTTCAAAATGAAAATAAAAGAGGATACTTATTTAAAGGAAATCACTCAAAATGCAGCGCAATTATTTATTTCTCTAAGATCAGTGTATTATTTTCTTCCTCTCACATGCATGTGCTTTCTGCCTCTTGTAGAGTTCTATCTTTCTGCTTTCCAGGCATACCCCTTCTTTGCTTTCCAGATTGCATCTAACCATTTTCAGCAACCTTCTCTCCTGCGTCCAGACTCCCTCTCATCTCTCTTTCTATGCTCATAAGACACTCTGATTCCCTTTTCCTTTGTTTTTTGCTCCCAGGTTCAGTCAGATTTTTCTGTGGCCAAATGTTTAACTGTTATGATGTGTGGATGGTAAAAAAAAAAAATCACTTTTTTCAGTGCAGCACTTCAAAGAATGTAAATCTTTAAAAATCCATGCACTGCATGGACATTCCCTAATCTTTTTGGTTTGCCTAAACCCTGGTATTGTGAACTTCTGGTGCTCTATATCTCCATCCTTTTGCACAGGCAAGGTCCCTGACTTCAAAGGGAGTTGCATACCCACAAGAGTGATATACCTGAGTCCTTTAATCTTCTAGGAATTGAACTTATTTATTTCTGTCTCAAAACAAGAGCTTTTTTCTTAAAGTATCTTTGAAGAACACTGACCACATATGCAGGGGGCTAAAAATACCCTGATCAGAGTTGTGGGGTTAGGACACATGCAGCCCCCAGGGCTGGGGCAAGTGGCTGGGCTTTCCTAGCTCAGGGGCTGTATGCATTCTGAATGTGTACACACAACCATAGGTTAGTCCAATCTACATAGTTTACCTCCTAGGTGAACTAAAGTTAGATCAGACAGCTATTTTGTGCCTGATCTAACCTCCCCAAACACGTATAGTTCAGCATGTTTAGGTAAGTCAACCTAACCCTAGTCAGGTCAATCTAAGTGAAACGTCTACACGTACCCTCAGATGCCAAATAGGTAGAATTGATCTAGCCCTAGTTTAACTTAAGATGGCAGAGAGTTCCATTCATGTCCCATTAGAAAGAATTTTGTTTTTAAGTCAATGATACTACTTGTGCTTAAACTACCTTGCTGAATAGGGGCCTTAGAACAAAAGTTCCTCCTTCAAATATACTCCTTCCAAAAGGTCTATTAATATTAGCCCTCCCTGTAGAAAGCTGTTTACCAGGCAGATAACAGAGAACAAAACAATTATAAAGAAAAAAATTGAAAACAAAAATCATGGGTACTCAGCAAATATATATATAACTTCACCATCTGTGGGGGATTTGGGGGGGGGGGGGGGGGGGGGGGGG